AGGAAGGAAGGAAGGAAGGAAGGAAGGAAGGAGCCATGTGAATGATTACTTGCTTAACTTACCCCTTGAAATCCTGTAGTGTAATGGTTTCTCCCAACAAGTTCAAGAAGTTTTGGAAGGCAGGACTCTCTTCATTGTTCCCAAACAATTCTTCTTCCTGTGTCTGGGAAGACAAAGCAATTCCAAACAAAACTCATCTTTATTTTGAAACGACCAGCAGCAAAACTAAAGTTTGGAAGAGATTATTCCTATTATGGTGGGAGGCAATCAACTTCCTCTCTAAATAAGTATTGTCACTAACTAGTTATCCACTCCTCTCTCTAGACAGAGAGAGGGGGGGGAGAGGGAGGGAGGGAGGAAGGGAAGGAGGGAGGGAGAAAAGAAAAGATGTTCAGAAAAGTGATTATTCTTTTTTTCCACAGCATAGGTGGAGCTGGACCAAGACATTCTACAAACTCTTTTTTATTGGCTATTGTTTATTCTTTTATTGCTTTTTAAAATAATGACAAAAACAGGACAACAACCACAAAGATAAAAATGTATTCATAGTCAAATTTTATTTATTTGACTATGAATACATTTTTATCTTTGTGGTTGTTGTCCTGTTTTTGTCATTATTTTAAAAAGCAATAAAAGAATAAACATAAAGCATAAAAATGGCTTTTTAAAAAGTGGAAAAAAACCAACAAAGAAAAAAAAGTACATCATTTTAGCAGTATAGTTACAATTCTTTATAAGTTATCTAATGCAGTTATTATTCACACACACACATACACACACACACACACATACAGAAAAACATTTATAGTATGTTAATGGTCATTTTTTTAACCACAGAATTATTGAACTCCACACATTTTAAAGTTGCTATGATTGAGAAAAGCTTCCTTAAATGGTCAAATCACCACCAAAACAACAGAAATATTATTGCTCCAATAAAAGAAATCACTCACTTGCTTAAACTTCTGGTAAATCACCCCAAACTTGAATGTGTTGTTAAGTTCATGTTCATCGTAGGATACTATCAATTGTGATGCCTGAAGTAGGAGAAAAAAGGAGGAGGGAGTCATAGAATAATTTGTAAAGAAAGAAAGTCCTTTAATGAGTTTGGGAAGTATCCCTTTTTTGGGGGGGGGGAAGTTGCTGACAAAAGCAAAAGGTCTCGACTTATACTCATTAATTTAGTGACTGTTCAAAGGTACAGTGACTTACAAAGGTAAGGTGACTTACAACCAATCTTCACACTTACGACCATTACAGCATCTCTGTGGTCACATGATCAAAATTTGGACTCTTGACAACCAATATGCATTTACAACAGTTGCAAAGTCCCAAGGTCATGTGATCACCATTTATGACCTTCCCAGGTGGCTTCCAACAAGCTAAGTCAATGGGGGAAGCCAGATTCGCTTAACAACAACGTGATTCACTTAACAACTGCAGTGATTCGCTTAACAACTGTGGCAAAAAAAATGTCATAAAATCGGGTACAACGCCCTTAACAATTGCCTTGCTTAGCAAAGCAAATTCTGGTCCCAACTGTCATAAGTCAAGGACACCTCGTATTTCACCCGCAGAGAACATGCTTCAAGTGTATAGAAATCCCGTATTGGTTCACTGGCCTATTTTTTTTTTATAATTTATTATTTTATTTTATTTTATTTACCAAATTTTTGAAACCACTAATCTTTGTCACAGGAGGACCCCCACATCTGGGGGTCCTCCTGGATCCACGGCTGATACTGGATGACCAGTTGACGGCTGTGGCCAGGGGGGCGTTTTACCGGGTACGCCTGGTGCACCAGTTGCGGCCTTTTCTGGACCGGGATGCCTTGCGCACAGTCACCCATGCTCTTGTCACCTCCCGCCTGGACTACTGTAATGCTCTCTACATGGGGCTTCCCTTGAGGAGCACTCGGAGGCTCCAGTTAGTCCAGAAT